AGAAACCTCCCAGCCAGCTTTGGCAAGAAACTCACTGGATGGGATTCATCAGTCAGTTCATTAATCCAAATGGTTGAATCAAGAGTCTCAAACTGATATAGTCTTAAGTATGTTCAAAACCCTTCATATCCTTTTTGCTACTTCAGAGAAGGTGCCTGAGGTTGTTGTTTCAAGAGAATCTTTTTCAAGATGCCAACACATCAGACTCAGAGACTGAAAATCCTAGTTGAGTCCAACTTCTACCTCTAAGTCACTAAATAAACTCAACTAAATTACTTCACCTTTCTGAAATTCAGTTTCTTCAATTGTGAACTGGAAATAAAATACACATATCACAGGATTTTCTAAGGACTAATTGAAGGTTACAGTATTTGAGGATACTTTGCAGGCTGTAAAGTACTTTATATGGCTATAAAGTAGGAGATAATTATAACACAAATGCAAGAACTCAGGATGTTTTTCTTCTGTATAACCCTGTAAGCTTTCAAAACTGCCACAGCATGATAAATTATAGGAAAACATACTCTTAATCATAACATTTGCAAAGTCTCTTTTTTATTTTACATAAATATAGTAGGTACTCAATGCTTGGGTGGAAGTATTGTTGGTTGGATGAATGGGAGAGACGAAGGGAGACAGCATATTAAAGTAAATAAGAGAGCTGTTCATGAAGTTTTAAATGTTCCTTTTTTAACATTCTTTTTAAACATTGCTTGATATGAACTATGTGTGTTACACTGAGGGGTGGGAGGCATTTAGTTCATTGAGTTAGTAAGCCTGTTTTTCTGCTATTTGTTTTTTAATTCAACAAACATTTATTGAGCAACTGCCATCAGTTGGGCATTGTGCAAGTTTCAGGGAAAACACAATTGATGATGTCACCATTTTTTTATGCCTGTTTTCTTCAGCTGCTACTTTTGCTCCTTAAACATTTTGAAGATTGCAGAATAAACTGATACTGGTATGGTCATATGAAGGGCCCCAGCAGTATTGAGGGCTGCACTTGTGTCAAAAATCACATCTTGTGAATTGTTTCCTGATGTACATGTGCAGCCTGTGATTCCTTTATGGATCGCAAAATATGTTTCTCCAGAAAGAAGAAAGCTCCTCCCACCTTTTCTTGCTTTTCCCTGCTTGTCTCTGAACCTCTTTTCTCGGGGACAGCCCACCAAAACACTGTGTGGCCAAAGGAAAAATAAGATATGTCAACTCTCTGACTCATGTGGTCTTGCAGTGAACATCAGCTATGCATGGCTGCTGAATGGGGGTGGACATTAGGCAGATCATAGAGAACCTCTCTTGAGGGGAAATCAGGCTAGTCCCGCCCAACATATATAATTTTAGGTAAGGAGACACCTCAGCTCGTGTTTTAGGATAAGCTCTGTGTATATACTGAGAATGGCTGAGGAAGGACCTCCATTTGTAATTCATTTCTCTCATTGTGGAGGTGAGAGAACCAGTTCAAACTTTTAGGCTATTTGTGGCAGAATTGGGGCTGAAACTCTGTTTTTCTAACTCTTAGCCCATGGCTGTCACTGTGTTTCATGGTGAACTAGCACTTCCAAGTATGTTTTCATTATATAAGACAATTATAACATCATAAAGTGAGGAGTATAGAAAGAACATAAGCTTTGGAGTCAGACAGAACATGGTCAAATCCTGGCACTGCTTCTTAAATCCGTGTGGCCTTGGGCAAGTTACCTGAACACTCTGTTCTTCTGCTTCTGCATCTATTAAGAGGAAGAAAGAATGTTTACCTTTTATGGATGTTGCAAAGATTAAATGAGAGAACATTCAAAGAGCTCAGCACAGTACCCAGCCTATCTTTGATGTTGATATGTTTACTAGAAAGGAAGAAAGAATCTAATTGTCTCTTGAGAGGGGGTTCAGATGAGGATGATAATGATGGTGATGCTGGTGGTGGTGGAGAGAGTGATGGCGGTAGTGATGATGGTGACAGAGCTACCATTAAACATCTCTTTTTAAGTATTTCTGCAATATCACAACAGCCATTTGATGTTGTTATTTTCCTCATTTTATAGCGATCCTTCTGTCTCCAAATTCCACCCTTTTCTCATAATAGCACACTAGTTCTCAGGTTCTAAGTCTAGATATAGCAACAATGAATCTGCCAACCCAAGAAGAAACAAATGAATATTCCCTACAAATTTCTGGTTCCTTCATTTTAATTCCCTTTCAGTATTGAATGACCCTGTAACATTAACTTTGCCTGTACTTTATATGTGTGCAACCGGTAAATGTGGGTGATTCTCAGGAATTCCTTGAACCTATTTATGATACTGTGGACCAGCTGTGGCCAACTCCTTTTTTGTCAAGGATCTCAGAATCAATGTATTTAAGATGCCAATATTTTGAGTTGTACAGATAAGTAAACATTGACTGCCCGGCTGTTGGATTTTTATCTTAGAGAAAAACCTATGAGTCTTGGGGGCGAAGAACCAGCAGTTTGGAATCAGATTACCGGAATGTGAATCACAGCCCTATTCCTTGTGAGCTGCATGACCCTGATGAAGTTACTACTCATTTCTAAACTTCGGTTTTCTTACCCATAAAATGAGGATAATACTAATACCAGTCACATTAGGTTGTTGTAAGAATAAAATAAGACATGTATAGAAAGAGCATGTAAAAAGAGCTCACTTAAAATGAGTTCATATCTTGGGTCATTCCAGTACAAAAGACTTTGTGCCCTGAATGGAGAATCGTATCACTCAGGATCCATCCAGCAAAACATAAACCACTCTAAGTGTTTAAAAAACAGGCAATTTAATACCCAAAAATGGTGAACCTGATGATGGAGGAGCTGAGAAGAGCTACATTCCCTATGAAGCAATTCAGAGATCAGTGAAATGGAAACGGCTACCATCCCCAGGCTGGAGGGACTAAGGAGGGAGGTGGTGTTCCCATAGTCTAAAGGCAGGGGACACCAGCAGATGCTGGAGCCATAGCGGCCCTGTCAGCACAGCCCGAGTGGTGGAGGGGAAACAGCTGCTGCCTGGCACAGAAGAGAAGTAAATAGGCTCTTGCTTCCCCTTCCCTCCAGGCCCAGATCTCCCAGCAGGGCCAACCTTGGCTGACTTGAGTCTGGGAACTGCTGCCTGCAGGGGCAGCCCCACAGTACTGAGCAGAGCAGGGGACTTGATCTGAAAACACATAGGCCAAGGATTCTTGCAGGCAAAAGTCTCAGACCTGTATTGCCTGGTTGTGGATATCTAACTACTGGGTGATAACTAACACAGAAAGTTTGGAAGAGTCTTACTTCCCCCTGCTGCTAGACCTCTGAACAATAGCAGAGGTTCACAGGTTGCTGTGCCCCAGAAGGTAGAGTTTGGAAAAAGCAGTGGAAAACCCTCGAAAGCTGTAAGAGCCCTGTCTCTGGCCTTTTTCTCACATTACTTTCTAGCAAGAGCTCTGCTGAGCAGCCAGTGCCTTCAGTATCTGGGGATTTGTGGCCTGATGAGACATTCTTACCCTGCCATTTACCTGGCTAACTTCTGCAGAATTGAGTATAGACTGAACTTCCTTGGGCCCCTATAGGTGGGTTAGCTGCCCTTGCGGCCCCTCCTGTGATATACTGATTTCCCTGCACTGAAATGCTCCATTTAGGCTTCCCTCTCCTTCCCACCAGACTGTGAGCAGGGACTTGTCTTCCTCATCCTTGCATCCTCAAGCATTGGTACTCCTGTTTCCTGCACTGAGCTAGCTACTGTGATAGGTCCTGGGCTAAGCATTTGAGTAAGAGTACCAGCCCCTAGCAACTTTTATTATAGAAGGAAGGCAGATGGGATATATGATGTTTCACAATTACCAGTGTATTTTGTGCTAGGGAAGTCCAGTGCATGACACTATTTAGCAGGGAGAATCATCTGTCCTAGAGGATCAAGGAAGCCCTGTCAATAGGAACTGGCCTGACAGAGAGGTTGGGGGAATGGCATTCCAGGCAGAGGGAAGAGCAAATGTGAAGGTCTTGAGGTGGGAAAGAGCATCGAGGATTAGAGATTGAGAACAAACATGGCATTGCGTGGGAGCTGATGAGGTCAGCAGGAGCTGTTCTCTCCTGTGTCCCAGTCTCTGTGTCCTGCCTGAGCACTTTCTGCCCCCAGCTTTGTGTTGTAGTTCTGCGTGTCTGCATGTTTGTGGCTTCCACATCACACTTAGTATATATCGTTTTGTGCATAGAAGGGACTTGTTGGATATTTGAGCAAGTGAATACAATTCCAGGCCCTAAACGGTCTTCCTAGCTTTCTTGTCACATTTGTAACATCAGTTGCCCTGCAAGTATCAAGGAATATGAGCCCTATGGGGAAGAAGCCTAAATTTCTACCATTTATGGGAAACCCTCTGCTATTTGGCATTCTGTTACTAGGAACTGGCTCTCAGTCATCTCCTTCACACTTGGAGTTCTACGATAAGTAGTTATAAGAATGGTGACCTAGGGATGCCAAAAAGATTCAGTCATCAGACAGTTAGTTCCTTTGCTTTGACTTCTTTGGGATTGAGATGTGATGTGTTAAACCAGATTCCATTTGGCTGTGCTCCTTCCTAGCAGTGTGGCCTTGGGCAAGTCAGTTCACCTCTGCAGACTTTAGTTTCTCCTCTGATGTCTAGCATTATTAATATCTATAATGGGGTTAAAATGAGACCATGTATGCAAATATGTAGCATAGTGCCTGGTATTTAGTGAGCACAAAATAACTGATAGCTGCTGCTTTTGCTATGACAGTTACAATTACTGCCATTATGATAATGTTGGGTGCCATACATTGACCAGAACAAAGCGAAATCCGAGCAGGCTTCTGAGTTTTCCCATGCAGGCGAGTATGCCCTTTGGGTTTCTGCTTGAGACTGCCCTACACACAGGACTCTTCCTCCGTGTTGTTTGACTATGAAAAAGAAGACCTGTTAATGCTTGTTTTTAGCTTTCTCTCCCTCTTTTTTATGTGTTAAAGAGGATTTGTTTTTGTTTTCCTTTCTCACAGGAGTGATTGGGGCAGATGTGAAAGGGCACGGCCTTGTCTGTGAGGGGCAGCCAGTGACATCACGGCTGGCTGTCATCTGTGGAACGTCTTCTTGTCACATGGGGGTGAGTCCACTAAGCACAAAGGCAAAGCCACCACACAGCAGGCGGCAGCGTGGAAGAAGACCCTGAGTGCTGGCTCCTTCACCCCTTCACTTCTTTCCTCTCTTCCCTTCCTGCCCCCTGTGCTTTGTCTAGCCAGAAGCTCAGCTCCCCACTCCACCTCCCTTGCTTACATTTGCTGGATCTTTTTCCAGGGGCCAAATTCTTAGTAAGCATGAAAAGGATTGAGTGCTCCGTTTGACGTCACCCTGGCCAGAGAGCCTAGGCATGAATGGTGACATCTGATCCTAAGGTGACAAAGTCTAGCTCCCCCAGACTGATCTGTCTCTAATGGGTAGGGGGGTCTTCTCTGCAAAGAGTGTCTGTTTTCCTTGGCCAGGGAACTCTCTCTCAATCAATATAAATCCATCTCCCTGGGAGCGTCCTGATGATCTATAGAATTAGACTGCATATCATGACTTCAAAAGAACACTGATAAGCAATTTTCACTTTGTTAATTTTTCTCCATGAATTAGTGGAAAGGCTTTCTCCAAGATTGCAGTTAAAATTTAGTGCCTGCCCTAAAATTTATATCTTCTTTAAATGCATGAGTCTGAAAGCATTCCATTCCGATAAGTACCCATTTCTACCATATTTTTATTTAAAAGTCATTACTCTGTTAAACTTAAATCGACGACTCTTTGGAATTTTCCCAGATAAGTGAAATAGAGGGAAGAGTGGGGGAGGAGCAGGGAGATGAGCAGAGATTAGAGCGGGACACAGCCCAGGGCAGAATCAAAGCAGCTATGGAGGAAATTATGTGGGATGTGAAACTGTTTTGCAACTGTAGGGACCCCTGAGCCTCTCTACCATCGGATATTCTGGTTCAGTGAATATAAATATATGTACTTATTTGTCAATCCCTGCTCTTGTGCTAAACTGTGGATATAAGAATGACATTGGCTGTCCCATTGATGAGATGAAGTTATAACAGGTATTAGAATATAATGCGAGGCCCCCCAATGTAGATACAAATCGATCTCATGATACTAAGCATCTGTCACGTGCCAAATAATATGCGAGGTATTCTTGCACATGGCATCCCATTTTGTATGGCTGAGGGAGTCAGCCTGAGTGGTTTCCAGTCCCACTTCCTCAGTTTACTAAGTGTGGGCCTTTGGGCAAGGTACTTAAACTCTCTGGGCCCCAGATTCCTCATCTGCAATATGTGGAGAGCGACAGCACCTGTCAGAGTGCTGCAAGAATTAAATGAGGTAATACTAAGTGTTCCACGTGCAGTAAGCACATCCCAAGAGCTCACTCGTAATCACTAGGACTGTTGTTGTTACTGAGCAGAAAGCAAACAGTGACTGACTCTGCCTGGGAGGGTGCAGGGTAATAGAATCTTCTTGAGATGACATTCCTGCTGGACTTTAAGGATATAGATTTCCTTCTGTTTGTCAGGGCTCTGGGCAGTCTTGAATGGAATTTGTCTAAGTTTTAAAATTGCAGCATATTTGCCTGGGCACAGTGGCTCACGCCCGTAATCCCAACACTTTCGGACACCAAGGTGGGTGGATCACCTGAGACCAAGAGTTCAAGACCAACCTGGCCAACATGGTGAAATCCCGTCTCTACTAAAAATACAAAAAATTAGCCGGGCATGGTGGCAGGCACCTGTAATCCCAGCTACTTGGGAGGCTGAGGCAGGAGAATTGCTTGAACCCGGAAGGCAGAGGTTGCAGTGAGCCAAGATTGCGCCATTGCACTCCAGCCTGGGCAACAAGAGCAAAACTCCATCTCAAAAATAATAATAATAATTGCAGCATATTTCTTCTGCTCAGCAGCCCTTTTGTAAGGCTCAGCTGTCCCTGAAGGGAGAGATCTGCAGAGGCCTGAGGCCTCTTTAAGCCAGAAGGCACAGCCCAGGAGCCAGCCCTTCTTTCCCTTGATATGAGTCTACACTTGTTAGATTGTCTTCACTGAATACTGATTTAATCCTGTTTAAATTATCTCTTATTTTCACAGGGATGCATCTAATCAGGCTTCTCCTGGGAGATCTGAATTTCAGGCATTTTTATCCCACTCAATTCAGATTTCCAAACAGAAGCAAATCTAAGTGGATGCAAGTGTCTCTGTGATGGCCTGCTTCTCAGTCTTACTGTCTCTTAATGGAGATGAGACTGGCTTTCCCTACCCATTTATTTTACACATTTGGGACCTAAAGCATGGAAAAGTCCGGTAATTTTCCCAAAGTCACAACAAGCTTTGAAGTTCTGGAGCTAAGAACTGAAATCTAACTCTGATTCCAAAGCTCCTACTCCTCCTTTCCTCCCTGAATTGTGCATGAGTATGATCTACCCATAGAGGAATGGTGAGAGCATGGGCTTTTACATTGTCCAGAGGCAAGCTTGAACATCTACTCATGCACATTTTGGCCCTCTGACCTGAGTAAGCTACTTAACTTCTCTGAGCCTCAGATTCTTCATCCATCAAATTGGGGATAATGATGCCAGTCTCACAGGGTTGTTGAGTAACATGCACTATGTAGATTTGTACCTAGCACACAGCAGACACTCAAAAATGGTGGAGATTGTTATTAAACTTTCCTAGTGATGTCAGCGGCTCACATGAAGCAACTGTTTCGGCTTTAACGAGTTTGATGGGCAGCTGCAGTTGGTTGCCATGAATGAGGGCCGTAAAATGCCAGTTTATGATGACCGTGTTGGGCTTGAAATACAGTCCCCACCCCCAGCCTGCTTTGTACTTGGGGGTGGGAAGGGACCCTCTGGGCCAAGGGGATTAATCATCAGCTTTAATGTTGTGTCATGAGGGCGAGACTGTGGTCATGCTGGCATGGGAAAGTGTCTTTGATCTCCTCAGGTGCTGGGAGCCCAGCAACAATAACACCTTTGTTAGGTCTAGGAGAGGTGCAGGTCTGAGGAAACACTCCCAGGGAGACTCAAGGACCCCCTTTGTTGTGGTTCTGGCAAATAAAACCACCAGTGTGAGGCAAAATTTACCAAACAGAACACAGGGACCAAAGGGGGCTGTGGGTTCTTCAAAAAGTGGTTTTCAGCATGATCTGAAGGATCCTCTTTCTTCCTGTCTGCTCACTTCTGATGTTTCCAATTTAGTAGATTGAGAGAAAATTCCCAGGAACATTTTGTACTCGATCCAGGTTACCTCTTTCTAGATCACCCAAAAAGAATAAATGAATGAACGAATGACCACATGAGTGAGTACTGGTAAATACTTAGAAGCTTCCTACCTCCAGGTTCCTGTTGCTTCCAGGAATCTAGAGAAAAAGCCTGAGGTTGAACATAAGACATATTAATAAGGCCTTTGATATTTTAAAAGATATAAGCATGGCTGCACATTTATCTTCCTTGTGGATGATTTAATTAACAGGGGGGAAACTGCCGTTCTTTTTTTAACTCCATGAAAGCAGAGCTGCTTGTTCAGAGTTAATTACTACGAAGTCACCAAAACCCCAGATAATACACAGCAGGGGTTAGCCAGAGGTTGAAAAGTCATGGGGTAAGATAGAACTGATCCTTACCATTGCACCAGCACCCTTTTCTTGAGCCATCAATTTGGGTTGTAACTTGGCAGCTTGTCTTCCAGTTAGCATGTCAGATGGGGAGAGGACCCTGGGGGGTCGGGGTAGGGAGAAACACTGAGGAGGTAAGATTTGAGCAGAGCAATACTTGAAGAGAGCTGGGAACTACATCTGCATCTTAAATCGCTCAGAACTGAAGTTTTTTCAGTCTTAATGTAGAGATGGTGATTCTCTATCATTGAATGGATGTGGAGACTCAAAAGACATAGGCTCATATGCTGCCCCCACTACTTACTGTGTGAATTTAGGCAGGATGCTTCATCTTTCACTGCCTCAGTTTCTGCATCTGTTAAATGTGAGTGATAGTATTTACCCATAAAGTTTTGTTCAGGTTCAAATTAGACCATCTTTGTAAATGACTTGGCACTGTACCTGGCACAAAATACCAAATATGATATTGTTATTAAAAATGAGGCGTTAATCACGCATGAACAATCCATGTGATTGTGGATTAGAATTAAGGACATCAGTATGAACTCATATTTAGTTTAACATAGATGCAGATGGATGCATATAGACATAGTTATGGATATATATACATATACAGGTTAGTAAATACATATTTATTTCCTGGCTCTGTTAGCTGGGATGGCCTAGAAATAAGGACACCCCAAGAGCTAGTTTTTACAAGCACGTAGCGTCCAGATCATAGTGTCTAATACCATTATCCAATACAAAGGACCAGGACTCCTTGGAGAAATGGTTGATTTTAGGATTGGGATAGGAAATATACAAGATGAGCTTGGCACATTTGCAGTGCCAGAAAGTTAGGAAGTTCTCAAAAAAAAAAAAAAAAAGGATGAGAATATGTCACAGGGAGCCAACTGCAGGAGCTCCCAGTGGCCACAACTGGAACCATTTAGCAGTAAAATAAAGTATTATGAATTATAACCCAAAATATGACATAAATATCCATAAGACCATACTGACAAATTATTCTGAATAAATAAATAAATGAAAAGAAGAGACACATCTCCTATACAGAAGAATTCCAATAATTTATGTAAATGTTCCACCATCAAGGAGATAGAGCGTAACTTTCCACTCCTTAAGTGTGGACTGCACCTAGCGACTTCCTTCCAGAAAATATGGTATGGAAAATGGGGGAAGAGTAATTTTACATTGAAGAAATATGAGAAACACTCAGTCATCCAGGTGACAAGGTCAACATCAACAATGATAAGTTATGTTGATAGTATGTACCCTTGATATGATGTAATGAAAATGACACTTTGTTGTGTTCATCCCCAAATCCTATAAGCCCAGTCTTATTACCAGGAACACACCAAATGGATCTTAGTTGAGGGATGTTCTGTAAAATACTTGACCAGTATTTCTCAAAACTGTCATCCAGGTCGTCAAAAAACAGGGAAAGTCAGAGAAACTATCACAGCTAAGAGGA